ATATATGGGGGGGGGAGGAGACAGGAAAGGGGAGGTGGAGGGCAGAGCTGGTATGCACAGAAAGCTGCCTACCCTGCCCCCAGCATGTAAAGTTGTAATTGCTAAAAAATTTAGCAAAAAAAAAGTTTACCAACAAAAGCTTTTTAACGTCCCTAACACAAACTTGATCACATTCGTTATTTTTCAGCTGTTAATTTAGTCACTTCCAGATTGTGGCTCTCTTGCGCTAACAGAGTGCTGCAATGTCAGGTTGAGAAATTCAAAATATAGACCCTGCCCCCAGCATGTAAAGTTGTAATTGCTAAAAAATTTAGCAAAAAAAAAGTTTACCAACAAAAGCTTTTTAACGTCCCTAACACAAACTTGATCACATTCGTTATTTTTCAGCTGTTAATTTAGTCACTTCCAGATTGTGGCTCTCTTGCGCTAACAGAGTGCTGCAATGTCAGGTTGAGAAATTCAAAATATAGTTGTATGACTGTACAACTGTCCAGAAGCCTCCTCCCACTCTTGTGCAGCTGCACACTGGCTATCTGCAATAGCAGTGCTTGTGTTTCCCAGACTTTAGGGAGGACAGGAACCGTCCATTTCTTTCCCTTTCCCCTCCATTCCTGGGGAATAGGATACTAAAACAAGGACAGTGGATGGTGGGGATGAGTCAGGCTCATAATCTGCCCCATGATTCCACTTCACCCCAACCATAAAGCAAGGCTAGGACATAAAGAGTGGGGAAGAAATTTTCTCTTTAGGATAGAACAGGGCTACTCAGCCCATGGCCCTTTTGTTTGCAGCCTGCGATGCAGTTTGGGTTTACATGAGACTCAATATGCAGCCTGCGGGTGGAAGCCAAAACACAAAAGTAGTCAATATAATGGTCTTCTGTTGATATGCGTTTTAGTAGTTATATTCCTGGACAGTCATTGCTCATTAAAAGTGCTGTCATATGGGTGGAAATTGGGTAAATATTGCATTTTATTAATATCAGCAGAACTGACTTACCTGGGGCCTGTGTGTTGTGTAGTCTTGCTTTAATCTTTTTATTCATGCCCATCAGAGTGAAAGAAGCTATTTGCATATATTTGCATATATATGCAACCACGCTTAAGTAGTGGCCCTCATCATGTTGTAGCCCTCGGCATATGCTGTGAGTATTATTGTGGCCCCCGGGGCTGTTGAGTAGCTCTGGGATAGAGTATATGGTAAGGATGTTAACTAACAATTAATTTACTAGTTGAGTAATCGATGGAATTTCCATTGACTACTTGACTAGTCGATAGGCACTTCCGCATTCCTTCTTTGAAATGTACAAGAGCCCAGCCCCCTCCCCTGGAAATATTTAAACTGATAAGAACCTTCCGTGAGCAGTGCAAAAATGCATTAGTAAGAATGAATCTGTTCGAGAAAATGGTGTAGAACTTCTGTGGAATCATGTGGCAATATAATTGGAGAGGTGGTTGGTAGATATGAAGTCCATCTACATTTGACCTGGGGAGATAGTGCCTAGGTCCGGTAGGCTTACCTGTGCTAGCGCTGACCTAGCAGTGTGCTAGAAACAGAAGTGTAGCTGTTGTGATGGGAGCCACAGGAGTTATCCTTGCTGAGACATTAGGAGCACTAAAGTAGCTGACCCCTCCCACTGCTTTTGCAGCCATGGTTATGATCTGATTATAGTGCACAAGCTCAGTTAGAGCTAGCACAGGTATGTCTATCCAAGTTGGAAATTATAGCTCCAGCTCAAAGGGCAAACATACCATTTAAGTTAACTTCTCATCTATATCCTTAGAAACAAATTTTTTGAATCATGGTGCATGCCTCACCACATCAGATTCAGTCTGAGCTCTTTGGCTTCATCTACACTGGCATGATTTTGCGCAAATGCTTTTAACGGAAGAGTTTTTTCGTTAAAAGTATTTGTGCAAGAGAGCGTCTATACTGGCATGTGCCTTTGCGCAAAAGATTTGCTTTTGCGCAAAAGCATCCGTGCCAGTGTAGATGCTCTCTTGCGCAAGACAGCTCCAATGGCCATTTTAGCCATCAGGCTTTCTTGTGCAAGAAATTGATGTTACTTGTCTACACTGGCCTCTTGCGCAACGTCAGTGTTCTTGCGCAAATACTCGCGGCCACTGTAGATAGGCGGCAAGATTTCGTGCAAAAGCACCTGCTTTTGCGCAAAATCTTGCCAATGTAGGCACAGCCTTTATGTATTTCAGGGCTGTATTGGTGTCTGATCCTTATTCATCTGAGGACAGACCTACATGTAAAACACTGCATCAGCATAGCTGCGCTGCTGTAGCACTTCAGTGAAGACATTCTACACTGACAATTCCCGTTCGCATAGTTAATCCATCTCCATGAGAATTAGTAGCTGTGTTGGTGAGAGAAGCTCTCCTGTCGACATAGTGTTCTGTACAAAGGGGGTTAGGTAAAATAACTGTGTCGTTCAGAGGTATACGTTTTTCACTCCCCTTAGCACATTTAAACCAAAGTAATTCTGAAGTGTACATCTGCCCTGGAAATCTTCATGTTTGGAATCCTCTTCAAGTCATCGGGACTGCTAAACATTGGAAGAGGGCGTAAAGGCTGCCAGATGTTGCAAATTTTCAAATCAGCCCTTCACATTTGGGCAGTCATAAGAACAATAAGAGATGGCAGCCTTCTGCAGTGTGAATTACTGTTGAGTACCCACTTACACTACTAGATAGAGCTTCGAGAATTTGAAGGTTGCTGTTTTGTGCACAGTCGATGTTGATCACAGCACAAACACACAAGCAAAACTGACAGTCTCTAAATAACTTTTGTGTACAAGAGAAGTACAAGTGGAATTCAGAGTGGGTGTTGAGAAGGGATTATACCTGTACCTGGTTCATCGCTACCTCTGTTGATGGCTAACTTTCATACACATTAAATATCATCTAATTTTTCCAGAAGGTTTTCCTCTAACAAGGGCAGGAGCATAAATCTCAGTGAGGTGGCGAAACAAATTGGCCTATGCTGCTGATGCTTTCCAGTCATGGTACTGTTCTTTTTCGTAAGAAAAATGAATCAGAAACATCCAGTGAAATTAGACACAAACCCATCAGAGAAGTGTGCCCATATTTTGTTCTTTGAAAGTCTTTGAAAACTCTAAACATTCTTATGACCCGAGTAAAAATATTCAAGTGAAATAACATTTTATTTATAGACTGAACTTCATTTTTGTTTAATCTTGAACCACTGATTATTGGTAAAGGAGTCAAATAACCATAATTTAAAACATGTACATCAATAATACACAGAATATCATCACCTAGCTTTGTAGTAGTATATTTCCTGTGAAGGGGCCTTTATTCTTGTGATTAAAATATATAGGCCTACATTTTCAAAAGTATCTAATGATTTGGGGTTACCTCAGTTTTGGGTCCTTAAATTGTGACATCTAAAGGGCCTTGCTTTTCAGAAAGACCATCTGCCTCTGGAAATCGGGTCCCTCTAAAGTGTCTCAAGTTGGATAGTAAACATTACTAGTCACTTCAGGCTAAGAAGTCTCTGGGAACTGACGTGCAGCTTATCATAGAATTGGTGGCATTTCCAACATAAGAGAGTAATGACTCATTTCTTAATTTCTGCTTGCAGTATCCATAATGGAGTAATAGCAGTGTTCCAACGTAAAGGGCTCCCAGATCATGAACTTTACAACCTCAACGAAGGAGTTAGGTGAGTAAAACAGCTGTATGTGTTGCCACATAGTTTTTAGAAAATTGATGTTGCTGGCTAGCAATGATTGTTGGCAACTTCTACAATGAGGCCTTGTTTCTTCAGTTGTTTGTGTTGGAACTGACAATGAATATCATTCATCTGTCCTTATTGATTAGATGTTGGTTCCTGGTCAGTTATATTTACTGCAAAACTCATTGGAGGGAAAAACTAAATGTAGTGACCTGCTTGTGTCATGGCAACAAATGTAGTCCTATCTCAGTATAGACATAATTTAGAAAACCAGACTTTAAATCCAGAGCAACAGTGTTGACCTTAGTGGTCTTGAAGTGCTCCCATGTACCTGGAAATAGAATTGTGTCCAAAGTTTTCTTTTAACTGGGTTTTCAGCAGATTTGTTTAATAATGTTTTCTTTACAGATTATGATTGGTCTAGCTTTTGCATGATGGATTGGGCTATTTCTTTTAATTAGTTTTAATAATAAAACGTTTCATACTTGTTGCTCAATTGTCTTAGGGAAGAACATTTGCTGACAATTCATACCTGAGCCAATTAAGGACATGTTGCAAAATCTAAACCAAAAGCTTCTGTCATAAACACTACATCAGCAGTTGAAAACTTGTGGTGAAAAACATGCATAATATTGCTTCAGGGTTGGGAATTCCAGTCATGGTCGCATCCATAGGGCTCCTGACGGTTTGGAAATTGTTCCCATGGCTGCAGCAAAGCACAGTCCAAAACAATCAGTTTCAGGAAATGTATAGACCTTTCTTTTGTGAGGCTGCATCATGCATTTAATGCATTAACTTATGTTGGAGGTTTATGGAGACCTTAATTAGTGGGAGCTCCAGGAGTAACACAGAGCAAATATGACCACTGTGCCACCCTGAAAGAACATGTAGTGTATTCTAGCTGGAACAAGAGGGGCAGGTGTAGTATGTGTTCCTCAAGATTGCTAGCGTGATTATTCTCACACAGTCCCTCAGTGTGAGTAAATGCAAGGTGGTGCCTGACCATTACAAGAGAGCGTGGGGGAGGAGAAGAAGGAATGATTCACTGCACATCCATTCAGGGTACCTGCGGAGTCTGCTCCATGGAACTGTAGAATCACCAAGCATAGTGTAGTTTAGTTTTGCATAGCAAGGGCTTTCCTACAGAGTTCACTTGTCGCAAAATAATGAAGTGAAGTTTTTTTTCTGACACACATTTACATAAAAACCCATGATTGGGCTAAAATCCAGCCAGGATCTCCACTCTTAGGGTATGTCTACACTACAGCGCTAATTCGAACTAACGCGTCTAGAACTAAAAACTAGTTTGAATTAGCGTTTTGCTAATTCGAACTAGCATGTCCGCATTGAGTGGACCCTGAACAGGGCTTAAGGATGGCCGGAAGCAGTGCCGGCAGGGCATCAGAGGAGGACTTAGAGCGTGGAGGTGCTGTCTCAGGCTAGCCGAGGGCTGCGCTTAAAGGGACCCGACCCCCACCCCGGACAGACAGTTCTCAGGGGTGCCCCGCTTGAAAACCAGTCCTGGCTTGGAGTGCCCGGAGTGCCCACACTGGGCACATCACAGCACTCGGCCATCAGCCCGGCTGCACTTGCCGCAGGCTGCCATCTGGGGAGAGGGGGCAATTGGGGGGCTGCAGGAGAGCTCCCCCCCCCAGAAGCCCGCAGAGCCAGCCCAGTCCTCCCCATCGGGAGCTCGTACCCCATTCCCCCCTCACCTCCTTCCACTTACCCTTCCCTAGCCCCTTTTCTTGATGTACAAAATAAAGGACAATTGTGTTCAAAAATAGAATCTGTCTTTATTGAACAAAACTGGGGGAGACTGGGAAAAGGAGGTGGGAGAGGGGAAGAGAAAGGCTGGGAGAGGGGAGGGCAACTAACATGATCAGGGATTGGGAACAGGTCCCAGATGAAGAGAGGCTACAGAGACTGGGACTTCTCCACTTAGAAAAGAGGAGACAGAGGGGTGACAGGATAGAGGGCTCTAAAAGCAGGGGTTGGATGGAGAGAGTGCATTCAGAAAAGTTCTTCATGAGTTCCCATAAAGAAGGACTAGAGGACACCAAAGGAAAGGAATGGGTAGCAGGCTTCAAACTAGTAAGAGAAAGTTGTTGTTCTTCCCAAAGCAAATAGTTAACCTGTGGAACTCCTTGCTGCAGGAGGCTGTGAAGGCTACAACTAGAACAGAGTTTAAAGGGAAGTGAGATCAAGTCATGGAGGTTGGGTCCATGGAGTAGTCTTAGCCAGGGGGTAGGAGTGCTGTCCCTGCCCAAAGTTTGTGGAAGGCTGGAGAGGGATGGCACGAGACAAATGGCTTGGTCACTGTCTTCGGTCCATCCCCTCCAGGGTCCCTAGGGTTGGCCACTGTCGGCAGACAGGCTACTGGGCTAGATGGACCTTTGGTCTGACCCAGGACGGCCATTGTAAGCTCAGGGCTCAGGGTCGGGGGTCTCAGTGGGCCCCCTTGATTTTCATGCACACCTGCTCCTGGGTGGCCAGGCTGGCAGCTCTCCTGCCCTAGCCAGCCACTTTCCTGTGCCTAGTGCAGATATCGTGGACGAGGGCCACGATGTCCGCACTAGCCCAGGAAGGTGCCCGCCTCTTGCGGTCCTGGGCAAGCTCCCGGGAGCCACCAGCCTGGTCCCGGGAAGAGGGGGTGGGCTGGGGGACATCGGGGGGGGGGCTCTGTGCCGTGCCAGGTGCAGGGTCTGCTGGCTGGGTGCTGGCAGGCTTGCCCCTGGCACGGGCACCGTAGCCAGCCCGTGCCCCTTTAAGGGGTCCGGGGCCGGGAGGGGGGCATACGAGTTTCCCTGGTGTTGGCCAGAGTGGCCACCAGGGAAACCTGGGGAGGGCTAGCCTCCCACTAGTTCGAATTAAGGGGCTACACACCCCTTAATTCGAACTAGCTAGGTCGAACTAGGCTTAATCCTCGTAAAATGAGGTTTTCCTAGTTCGAACTAAGCGCTCCGCTAGTTCGAATTTAAATCAAACTAGCGGAGCGCTAGTGTAGCGCCTATGAATGTTAGTTTGAACTAACGTCCGTTAGTTCGAACTAACATTGTAGTGTAGACATACCCTTATTTAGAGGTTTGCTTCCTTTTAGGCTCCAAGTTAGGTTGACCATCTACTAACAGCAGTCTTTTCAGTGATTACCTGGGAATTTTGTTTTTTACACAGTTCTTTATACACCCAATGATCCTTCATAAAAACACTGTTGTAAGGGGAGTATGTGGCTTCATCTCAGAAGTCAGGAAGAAGCTGTATATCAGGAGGAAGCATTTGTGCAATTGCCAACTGCTAGGCAGTCTCTTAAGCAGATTAGGACACATTTGTGTACGCAGCAGCAGCTGTCTCTCTTGAACTGCCCACTTTCTGACTTAACTGTATTGTTCTACTGCACATGGTCAATATACAGTTTCTTAATCCTTGTAATTATTTAAAATTTGAGCTTTCTTCAGATTTAGTTAAACACATTGTGGATTATTTGAATGCCTGGGTTTAAATGTCATGCTTCAGACATTATTGCTGTAGTTTTATCTAAACATTGAAATGTAATATTATTATAAAATGGAACAAATGTAATGAGTTTCACAACTCAGC